CCTCCTCCTCCTCCTCCTCCTCCTCCTCCTCCTCCTCCTCCTCCTCCTCCTCCTCCTCCTCCTCCTCCTCCTCCTCCTCCTCCTCCTCCTCCTCCTCCTCCTCCTCCTCCTCCTCCTCCTCCTCCTCCTCCTCCTCCTCCTCCTCCTCCTCCTCCTCCTCCTCCTCCTCCTCCTCCTCCTCCTCCTCCTCCTCCTCCTCCTCCTCCTCCTCCTCCTCCTCCTCCTCCTCCTCCTCCTCCTCCTCCTCCTCCTCCTCCTCCTCCTCCTCCTCCTCCTCCTCCTCCTCCTCCTCCTCCTCCTCCTCCTCCTCCTCCTCCTCCTCCTCCTCCTCCTCCTCCTCCTCCTCCTCCTCCTCCTCCTCCTCCTCCTCCTCCTCCTCCTCCTCCTCCTCCTCCTCCTCCTCCTCCTCCTCCTCCTCCTCCTCCTCCTCCTCCTCCTCCTCCTCCTCCTCCTCCTCCTCCTCCTCCTCCTCCTCCTCCTCCTCCTCCTCCTCCTCCTCCTCCTCCTCCTCCTCCTCCTCCTCCTCCTCCTCCTCCTCCTCCTCCTCCTCCTCCTCCTCCTCCTCCTCCTCCTCCTCCTCCTCCTCCTCCTCCTCCTCCTCCTCCTCCTCCTCCTCCTCCTCCTCCTCCTCCTCCTCCTCCTCCTCCTCCTCCTCCTCCTCCTCCTCCTCCTCCTCCTCCTCCTCCTCCTCCTCCTCCTCCTCCTCCTCCTCCTCCTCCTCCTCCTCCTCCTCCTCCTCCTCCTCCTCCTCCTCCTCCTCCTCCTCCTCCTCCTCCTCCTCCTCCTCCTCCTCCTCCTCCTCCTCCTCCTCCTCCTCCTCCTCCTCCTCCTCCTCCTCCTCCTCCTCCTCCTCCTCCTCCTCCTCCTCCTCCTCCTCCTCCTCCTCCTCCTCCTCCTCCTCCTCCTCCTCCTCCTCCTCCTCCTCCTCCTCCTCCTCCTCCTCCTCCTCCTCCTCCTCCTCCTCCTCCTCCTCCTCCTCCTCCTCCTCCTCCTCCTCCTCCTCCTCCTCCTCCTCCTCCTCCTCCTCCTCCTCCTCCTCCTCCTCCTCCTCCTCCTCCTCCTCCTCCTCCTCCTCCTCCTCCTCCTCCTCCTCCTCCTCCTCCTCCTCCTCCTCCTCCTCCTCCTCCTCCTCCTCCTCCTCCTCCTCCTCCTCCTCCTCCTCCTCCTCCTCCTCCTCCTCCTCCTCCTCCTCCTCCTCCTCCTCCTCCTCCTCCTCCTCCTCCTCCTCCTCCTCCTCCTCCTCCTCCTCCTCCTCCTCCTCCTCCTCCTCCTCCTCCTCCTCCTCCTCCTCCTCCTCCTCCTCCTCCTCCTCCTCCTCCTCCTCCTCCTCCTCCTCCTCCTCCTCCTCCTCCTCCTCCTCCTCCTCCTCCTCCTCCTCCTCCTCCTCCTCCTCCTCCTCCTCCTCCTCCTCCTCCTCCTCCTCCTCCTCCTCCTCCTCCTCCTCCTCCTCCTCCTCCTCCTCCTCCTCCTCCTCCTCCTCCTCCTCCTCCTCCTCCTCCTCCTCCTCCCCTCCTTCCCCCTCCTCCTCCTCCTCCTCCTCTTGTTGTTCCTCCTCCTACTCTTCCTCTTCCTCCTCCTCCTTCTCTTCCTTCTTCTCTTTCTCCTCTTTCTCTTTCTCTTCCCTCACCTACTATACTACTACTACTACTACAAATACAACAACTATTACTACTACTGATATTACTACTACTACTATCACTACCACTACATCACCACTGCCAGTACCACTACTACTGCCACTACTGCTACTACTACTGCTAGTACTGCTACTACTACTGCTGCTGCTGCTATTATTACTACTACAACTCCACTTCCTCTTCCCCATCTTCTCTCCTTCCACCTCAGCCTGCCTCCCCCCCCTCCCCCCGCGGCGGCCCCAACCGGCGTCCGGGATCCGCGGTTCGCGTCGGAATTATCGGTCCGCGTCCGGATCCGGCCGAGGCGCGTTTGCCGTATTCCGGAAGCTGCCGTTTATTCTTGCGGCTGCCGCGTCGCCCGCCTCGGCCAGGCAGCACCTCGAAGGTCCCAGTCGATTGCATTTGCATACTATGTCGTCTCGTAGGATCTCGGCGAGCAGCGTGACGTAGGATCGCAGGACCCGGGGAATGATACTTTCAACCGCGACTTGGTTTATTGGAGACTTTTATGACTGGGACGAACACGGCATTAGCCCTTGTGTCCCTCATCGCTAGGGGTTACAATGCTCTGACCTTGTCTTCCTACCCCCGTCCCATGCCCCCACCCCTATGTTGCGAGCGTCCAAATTTAGGAGTATTTAGGAAGAGCATCAGAGCCATGTGAGATTTGGCTGCATTCGGCAACTCCGTTTTTCAGGGAAGGTCTGTCAGCCGCATGCAAAGAAAATGGAATCAGGTTCTTGAGGTCTGGAACAATTGTATCCTAAATCATATCCCGGCTTTTATATATTCTTGCTTTTCGGGGAATTTGCATTTTATGCGTCCGAAATAATGGCAGAGGTATGCTCGTAACCCGGGGGTCT